GGAAGTGCCCAAGGCCAAACTGGAACCTCCTGGAACATTGGGAAGTGTTGCACCCATGGTGGGACTGTTTGGGCTTTGAGGTCCCTCAACCCAAAGAATTCCAGGATTCCATGTGCTGGTTTAGATGGGATTTTGGGGAGAAATCTTGGGAGAGGGTTGGGGTTAGGGTTAGGTGGGATTTTGGGGAGCAATTTCTGGCTGGGAGTGTGAGGACGCCCTGGGATGGAATTCAGGTTTAGGTGGGAGTTTGAGAAGGAATTTCTGGCTGGGATTGGTGGAAAGGCCATGGGATGGAATTCCCAGAGCAGCTGTGGCGGTCCCTGGATCCCTGGCAGTGCCCAGGACCAGGCTTGAACCCCCTCAGACATTGGGAGTTGTGGGGCCCATGGTGGGACTGGTTGGGCTTTGAGGCCCCTCAAACCCTTCCAGGATTCCATGTGCTGGTTTAGATGGGATTTTGGGATGAAATATTGGGACAGGGGCTGGGATGGAGTTCCCAGAGCAGCTGTGGCTGCCCCTGGATCCCTGGAGGTGCCCAAGGCCAGGCTGGAAACGCCTGGGACAGTGGGAGGTGTCCCTGCCCATGGGACTGGATGAGCTTTGAGGTCCTTCCCAACCCCTCCTGTCATTCCATGGAATTTATTTCATCCCAACTTGGATATCCCTCAGCCAAGCTCTTTTCCCTCCTTGGATGGGATAATCAGTGCTAAGCCACTTGACAGAAATCAGATCCCCAGTTGTGACACTAAAATCCCACCACTCCCTCCAGGGCACAGAATAAACCTCCAGCATTTACAAACCTGAACTTCCGAAAGCAAAATTAAAATAAGACTAAAATTATCTGAATTCTGATATCGACACCTTTGGGGTTCATATTCTCAAAGATGTTCTCGGCAACACCTTTTTTTTTCCTTGTGAAAGCTGAAATTAGCACATTATCTTGGAGTCTGCAAGGCAAAAAAACCAAATACTGCAAGGAGAGAATGATAAAATCAAAAATGGACTTTGAGCATCTGCAGCAGAGCACTCAAGATAACCAAAGTATGTTAATTAATTTTTGAGGTGAGTTGGTTGAGAACTGTTAAGATTCTGTTTAGGCTTCACAATAAGAGTGGCTTGAATTTGGTTTCACTGCATTATAGTTTGGAACCAAATCAAGTTTACACAAAATCTCTTCCACCAAGACCACAAAGTCACTCAATTCACTTTATCTGTGCATCCCCACTTTAATAAAAATCAACTTCTGCCCACCCCAGTGCAGACAATCCCACAGTTCTTCCCACCTAGAGGTGCAATAATTCTCCTTTTCCAGCTCAGTTTTGCTTCTGCTCTGATGTTTAATTATCTCCAGCACAGCAACAGCCACTGCACTCCAGAAAGAAATCAATTCTCCCTTTGCTGCCAGCTCTAAATGCATGTATTCCATAATCAGCCTCCCAGGACAGACATTTGGGGCTGCACATCTGGGCAGCACATGAAAGGCCACCTCAGCTCTTAAATTATTTTGCAACCATCCCTCTCAGACCCAGCTTTGGGTATTTTTTTTTTTCCGCTTCGTTTTGCTACCAAAATAAAAAAAAAAAAGAAAAAAAGAGTGATTTTTTTAGTTGATAAGATGTTAATTAATAAAAATTCAGCTGAATTAATGGGATGCTTTTCAGTCCTAAAAATCCCCCATTACACCTTGGACTTCTTATCTAGAGGGTTTCGGTGTTCTCTGTTCCTGCCATCAGCCCTGGGACTCATTTCTCCCCTCACAGTTGCCTCTGGTGTTAACCTGAGCACCCCAACACCTTTTTAGGACACCCAAAAACAAGGAAAAAAACCCCAAAACCTCCGGAATATCAAGGAAACATCGACTGAATTCATGTCTTCAGTGCTGACAGCTCTGAGGGTCTAAAGGAGGAGAATTCCCACTGCACAGCTGCTCCATTGAGGGTCTTGAGCATTTTATTTATTCTATTTCCCCTTTCTTTAATTTCCAAAGTTGCCCAGTGCATGCAGGGAGAAAATATCAATGAAATAAGCCAGGATGATGTGGAGATGAAATTGAGTGTCATTAGGAACCAAAAAGGCCACAGCAGAAATTTTCACCCTGTCCCACCCCAGCCTCTGCAGCAAGAGCTGAAACCACTGCCAAAACCTGAATTTTAGGGAGGGAATCACAAAATCACCAAGCTGTAAACATCAATTAATAATGAAACACCATTCAGAAGCACAAAAGCATTTTGGTAGAGGCAGAGAAACCCTGAGTACCTCAGGTTCCCTCCAGCTTGTGAGCTGCTCTTCATTTTCACTTCAACTAAATATTATTATAACAAATATAATAATGTATATATATATTCCATAGATCCTAAATCTTCTTTTGATTCACATTTCTACTCAGATTTGTCACCTCCTGTTCTGCTTTTTCCCCTCTACCAAAATATTTCTGCACAAAATCTTTGGGTTAAGAAAACCAAACTTTTATGGCTGTGGCACAGGGACCCATTGGAACCCAAATCCCACAGAAAATAACCAGATTTAGCTGCAAACTTTAAATTTGGCACACAGGCTGAACAAATGGGGCTCCACAGGCCAGGGTGGTTGAATTTTCAATTTCAAAACTAAATTCAGCTATCCCAGGTTAATTTAGTGCTTTCTGTGGTAGCAGCTCCCAGAAAATCACCTGGAAATGAAATGAACCCAGCTCCAGAGTGCTCTGCATTGCCTTGAATGCTGACTTTCCCTGCTGGCCCCACTGCCCTCACCCACAGCAGAAACCCCAGGGCAGCTGCTCCTGCCTCAGCCCTTCTGAAGGATGAGCCCTAAATTCTTTAAATTTAAATTTACTGCCCAGGGAAAGCAGCGAATTGGAATGATGCAAACTCCTGTTTTATAAACCCCCTCTTGTGCTGCACAACCTTGAACTGCAGAAAATCAGCCCCAAACCATCACCCTCATCACAGGATGACCAAAAACCCAAAATTTCACCCAAAACCCCAAAATTTCACCCAAAACCTCACCCAGGTGTGAGGAGGGAGCCTGGAGATCCCTGCAGCCACCCCAGTGCTGCCTGCACTGCCAGCACAAGGTTTCCAAAGCTCTGATCCAGCACAGGATGCTCAGCTTTCCCCCAAGGGAACTCAGGAGCAACAAGTTTTCCCCAGGGAAGTGGATTTAGGATTTAGGATTCCCTAAATCCAGTTATTTAAGGTAAAGGCTGCGGGGCACAGGCAGGGCAGGAGAGAAAACCCCACTGAGAGAGGGGCCAGCAGCTGCAGCGTTTAAACCTCATTTAAATTTATATTTAAGTTTATAAAAGCTGAACAGGAAAATCAATGTGGTACAACACAAAATAAAATAATAAAATAAAATAATCAAATAAAATAATCCATCAGCCTGCCCACCAAAATGAGTTTTCAGCACAAAACCCAAACCTTTTGCCCATCCACACACAAATTTCCAGTGCTCAGCTCCAAAAGCACTCCCTGGCCATCAAGGTGAGGCTTTTCCATTCAGGTTCACAAACTAAGATGTCATTGTAAGTGGTTTAGAAGCCCAGCAAATTTTAATATCCATGCCAGCGTGTGTGACCAAAGGGATTACCCACAACGGCTCACCTGATTAGTTATACAAATGCCTGCCTTTTATTTTTGGGGGTTTTTTTTCTTTTTTTTTTTCCCTTTTTTTTTTTCTTTTCCCCTTTTTAATCCGAGAGCGTGCAGAATGCCAGGCAGGAGAATGGGCTGTGTGCTGGAATGTCTGAGGGCTGCAGCCTCGGGATTTATATTCCACGCCGGATTCATTGTTCTCCCTCCCAGCCCCTGCTGCCCTCCAAGCCACGCTGCAGCCATGACAGAAATAAATTAGCCCGAGGTACAGGTCACACCTTCAAGGGCAGGCAGAGCTCTGGGTAAAATCAATAGAGAAGATGGGAGTCTCTCACAGCTGAAGCAGAAAGAATGGCACATTGAGGGCTTTACACGTCCCCACACAAAGGCACTTTGCACAAACGCCGGGCCCTGCTGCCCGGGGAACACAAAGCTCGTTTCTTCAGCCACCTGAACCCCCAGAGCAGCTCAGAAAAGCCCCATTTCTATGGGGAATTTGCATCTCGATGCACAAAGTTCCATTTCTTTGCACCTCTGCCCGGGCAAAGGGGATTGAGATGCTGAACTCTGGCCCAGGTTGTAACTCTAAAAAACTTTTTTTTTTTTTTTTTTTTGCAGAGGGCAGAATCTGCACTGAGCCTTCAGCTGAAATTTTGCAGCGCTCCCCAACCTCAAACAAAAATAAAAAAACCTTCCCTGAACTTTGGTGAACTCCACAGGGCAGCAACACATGAAATATGTCTTGCATTCATTATTTTAATTTGTGATTTGAAAGCAATGGATAAAACACCCAAAATCGTTGAGAGGCTCAAATTCAGGATTCAGAATTTCTGCATTTCAGCTCCTCTGGAACCAGGAGATACAAGATTTACAAGGATTTGGATATTTGGAAGATTGATGCCGGAGTCGAGTGGGTTTTGCTAATGTCCCTCTGGTGAGTTAAGAATTAACTCTCACAACCTGTTCAGACACTTCCCACATCCCACGGGGTTCCCACCTGCCTTGCCAGGTTCCTAAAAGCTTTAAAGGCTTGACTTCAGCTCCTACAATCCTTCTAAAAATAGGAGTTCAACTTCTGAGTCCCGCAGGAGTTTCTGCAATTGCTGCCCAGGAGGTTTCTCAGCAGACAGAGCTAAAAGCTTTTCTCCTCTCCTGTCCCCTCCTAGACTTCCCCAGAGACAACTTTGGCCCAAATGCAGCTGGATCTAAATCCGAATGAACCCTGATTTTCTGCAAAGCCAGCAGGAAAATGTCAAATAAATAACTTTCCCCTGACCTCCTTGTTTGTTTGCTTTTATTTTAAAAAAAAATCCCCACACAACATCAACACGAGTCTTGTGCTTTGATCTCGTGTTGGACTCACACTTCCACCAAAAAAGTGGGAAAAGAAATTCTGTTTGTACTTACATTTGTGGAGCCTGTGTGGCCAAACAGAGTTGCTTTCATTTCCACTGCTACCTGCAAAAATGAAGGAGGAATTCACCATTAACACCAGGAATCGGTTTTTGCTCATGTCTCAAACACCTCTCTGCCTTTTTGGAGAAATTGGGGTAAATTCAACAGCTGGAGGGAAAAGGTTTTATTTTGAACTTGTAAAGAGATTTATTTTGAACTTTCCCCACTCCTCCATGGCTCATTCCCCGCAGCAGTTTCCACGTGGGGACAGGGAAGGTGGGACAGAAGAACATTCTGGATGTTCCCAGGGGCGTTTCGGGGCAAACATCAGGCACAGGATTATATATTATATTATATTATGTTATATTATATTATATTATATTATATTATATTATATTATATTATCTATTATCCTGAATTATATTTTCACATTAAATGGGTTTGTACAAATGTGCCCTGCCCTGCTGTTCCTTGGTTCTCCTCGAGGACAAGAGGGTGATGGTAATGCACATTTCAGCCTCAGACACCCCCAACACTGCCCGAGGCACCATTTGCAGTTTTCCCCTCACATTTCTGCTCTAGACATGAAAAAATGCAGTTTTAAATGCCTCCTCCAAAGAGATTCCACGTCCTCATCTCTTCAAAATAAATCCTTCCTCAAAAATAAATCCCATCATTCCTCAAAAATAAATCCTCCCTGCTTTTCCACCTCCCTGAGCTCTCCCAAATGGAGAGTCCTGCTCTTGGGAGAACATCCCAACAACCACAGAGTCCTTTACCTGCAGAGATCACATTTAGGGATGCTCCTAAATCCCATTTAGGATGCAGGAATGACCCATCAGAGCCATCCCCATGTGGGGCTGTTCCCCTCATCCCTGCTGCCCCTCTTTTCAGGGTGTTTCAGATGGATTTTGACATCCTGATCCTCAAAATGCTCTGAGAAATCCCCATCTTCAAAAAATAAAAATAAAAAAAGGACGGGTGAACATTGGGAGGTGCCTGAAGTGCTCCAGAATCCCAAGAGCAGCCCCACAGCTAAAGGAGATGGGATCCAACCCATTCCTCTCCTCCAAATCCTCCAAATTTCACCTTTGCTTCTTGATTGTGGCTGGATTCAGATGGAGACATCTCCATTTCAAAGAGCAAAACCATCCATGGAACTTTGGAGGGACACATTAAGCGTTTTTTCCCCTATTTAAACAGTTAAAAACCCCAGGATTCGGCACAAAAATGAGGGCAGAAAATGAGGTTAAGCCCATTTGCAATGGCTTGCTCCACTCTGGAGGTAAATGAAAGCTTGGAAAAGGTAAATGAAACCTTAGAAAGACCTGAGCCTTTCCAGGAACTGTGGAATTCCCCTCCCTTGGTTTAGAAATAAAGAAGGATTTAAATGCAACCCACAAACAGGAGCAGACTTGCCTTGGGAATACCTGGGGAGGTGGAGGAACAAATATATCTCTATTTAAGGGTGAAAACAAAGGAGGACAGGAGAATGAATGGATTCTTGGCCAAAACCTGGCTGATCTTCATTTAATGGATCGGAGTATTCCACATCACAGGTGAAAGTCTTGGCTCCGTGGGCCAAGAGTTGATTTGCACTTGCAACATTTACAAACCTATCAATTTGCAAAATGTCAACCCTGGGGAGGGAAATTTAATGAATAAAAAAGATTTCCTGTCTTGAATTATAATCTTGCATGTGAAGTGGGTTTGTACAAAGCTGGATCTGTGCAATTTGGGTACCTGCAAAGGAACAATGGCGACCTGAATATCCCACAGCACAGGTGAAATATTTGGCCTCTGTGGACCAAGAGTTGTTTTCCACTTCCAACTTTTGCAAACCTACAAATTGCAAAATCTCAGCCCTGGGGAAAGAAATTAAATAATCACAAAATATTTCCTGTCCTGAATTATAATTTTACACATAAAATGGGTTTGTACAAATCTGGATTTGTGCAATTTGGGTACCTGCAAAGGAACAATGGGGACCTGAGTATCCCACATCACAGGTGAAAGCCTGGCCTCTGTGGACCAAGAATTTTTTTTTTACCTCCAACTTTTGCAAACTTATAAATTGAAAAATCTCATCCCTAAGGAGGGAAGTTAAATAATCACAAAATATTTCCAGTCCTGAATTATATTTTCATATTAAATGGGTTTGTACAAAGCTGGGTTTGTGCAATCTGGATACCTGCAAAGGAACTATGGGGACCTGAATATTCTGCATCACAGGTGAAATATCTTGGCTCCTTGGGCCAACAGTTTTTTCCACTTCCAACTTTTGCAAACTTATAAATTGAAAAATCTCATCCCTAAGGAGGGAAATTAAATAATCACAAAATATTTCCTGTCCTGAGTTATAATTTCAACATGAAATGTGTTTGTACAAAGCTGGATCTGTGCAATCTGGGTACCTGCAAAGGAACAAAGGGGGAGGCCACGTTGTTTGTGCCTGGGTGAGGACAATGGATCTGGGATCAATCTCAGGCACCAAACTCTGTGTTCAGCCCTCAGACGAGGATGTGCAGCTTTGCAGCCTGGCTTTATTCACCTCTCAAAGCACAAGGCAATTTTTTTTTTTCCTCTCCCATAAATATGCAAAGTGCCTCACAAAGGACCCTCCCCATTTCCCAGGAAATGGAGGGCTGGAATGTCCAGGGGCAGAGAGAGCCCCGTGGCCTCACCGTGTCCATCTGCAGCACCACCAATCCCCAGCAGGCCCCCAAATCAAAATCCAGAGACGTTTCCCTCATCAAAAACTCCCCTGGATCTCAGGGGGCGCGCACAGGGAAAGATCAGAGAGCTCCAGCCTTGGGTTTTTGCAGATTCCTTCTGCCTGGCCTGGCTGCAGGTAATCCCAGTGGGAATGCCCCAGGAGATCCAGCAAAACCCAATCCTCCTCTCCCTCTCTGCACTGAGGTTTTATTTTTGCAAAATTCTTGGAGTTTGCAAAGATATTTTCCACTCCCAGTGCTCCAGCTAGGAGTTATTCATCATACCTGCAATCCCTTTTTTCCCTACTGAGATCCTCTGCATGGGATAACTCCCAGTTTAGAACAACCAAATAATAAATATACAGCTCTTAAACACAAGGATTTCACATTTTCACATGTTTAAGTCATTTCTCCAGTTTTTAAAACAAATATCCAAGTCTGTGCCCACTCCTCAAACACACAAACTTAAATCCCAACTTTTTATAAACCACATAACTATTCCCAAGTATATCCCAGGACAAAATTTAACACCAGGAGCTGCCAAATGTTTCTGACCCACTTCAAACAATCATTAACTACAGGCAGTTTCTAATTATTTAAGTCCATTTCACTTCTTATTCAGTGGTCATTTTGTTTCTTGGCCATTTGGCCTATGTTCAGAAAAAATCTCCATTAGGCAGCACAAAGTCTCACAAAAAGAAGGAAAATTCTCTTTTCCCACTCCAAGGTTGGGAATATTTTGGGAGACAGGAGTTTTAAATATGCTTTTAAAAGCAAAAAGTAGAGAGCACTTAAAAATTGAAAAACTTAAAAATTCAGCCACCGAGTAAAACTCAGTTATCAACTAAAATTGCTTTCTCTCACCTCTCTGCTAAAAGTTTTGCAATTCCTTTTCCAGAAAGAGCTGGAAAATGTATTAAAAGGCAAAAGCCATCGATGCTGGGACTGGGAGCAATCACATGAACAAGCCACAAGATTTGCTTGATAACACAGAGTTTATTATTCAAGAACGAGTCTCATTTTCAGCTCGAAGGCAGAGGGCGGGGAGAGAAAGGGGGGAACAGCTTTTAAAGCACACGCTGGAAGCCCAGGCTTGCACTGAGAGGAAAAAGAAGAAAGAGAAGAAAAAGTGAAGAAAATAAAAATCTCTCTGAGCTGAACTTTTGCAAGCCAACTTTGCAAAAGTTAAGCTCAGCTCCCAGCAAATTCGGGCTGTTTTCACTTAAACCAAGTTTACCTTCAGGAGAGAGAATGAGCAAGCAGAAAACTGCTGAACAACTGCTGAACATATTAAATTATATTTTTCTCTTTTTTTCCCCTAAAAAGTTCAGCTGTGCTGGAGATGGGAAGGGATAGAGGAGAGCAGAAAGAGGGGAGTTCAAAAGTCACCAAAAGCTGCTCGCAAAGTTCCTCTGCGCCCCCTCGTACTGACCTAAGCAGTCTTCGTTTCACAGGTAGCAAAGTTTTGTCTCCTTCTCCAGGGCGAGATTCCCACTCGCAGGAAAGCATCAAAAGAACATTGTTTGCGCTCCTCTGAGGAGGAGGGAAGGGAGAATTAAAAGAAAGCAGCCCAGGCAGGTAGGGTTTCTTCCTGAAAAGTAAATCCGGCGTTCTGGACCGAGTTCAAACCTCGGGCTTGACAGGCAGGGCAGCGAAGCTTTTTTGCACTGAGCATGCTTGGTCCTGCACTGCCTGCACACTTAATGAACATTACTTCCTTCCCAGTGGTTGCTCCTAGCAGAAATCCACACCCCCTCTCCGAGAAGTGAGGAATGCAGCTGAAACCAAAGTCCAGAAAACATGCCCGGCACCCAGACAAGGCCCCACGGATCAATAAACTCAGGTTGTGACCCGCGGGTCAGTTTGTCAAACAGGACATCAGGGTGAGTTTTTTCTACACTTGGTGGAGTTTGCTTTATGCCTCGGCTAATGCTGCTGGCTCCCCAGAGAAAATAAAAACTCTGCTGCCTTTTGGAGAATGATTAAATGCTCCAATAACAGATGGGAATTCTCTCTTTCAAATCTTGTCTTTCCGAACCTGCTGGAAAGTGAGGAAAGAAGTTGTGTTGTTTTATTTTTTCCAGACTAAACTCAGTTCTTGGACTCCTGAACAAAAGCTGTTTGAATTTGTCGTGGGGAAGGAGTATCTGGTGACTGCAAAAAAAAAAAAAAAAAAGCTCCTTTTATTTAGTTAGGGTCTAATCCTGTTCCGTTTGCAATCACAAGGAGTTTTGTCATTACCTCCAGTGGGAATAGAGCCGGGGTTTTAGATTACAAATGCTTGCAGGCAAGAGCTGTGTCTACTCCAGTGACCTGCACAGGCCAGACTGGTTTTGGCACTTCAATTTGCAATTTACACCATTGCTGTGCCTGAGCCCTGCACAGCAGCAAACTCCCCCTTCCCCAAATTTTCCCCAAATTCACAGGGAATTGCTGAAGAGAAGCAATTTTGCAAAATTGCATGGGTTGTTTTTAAAGCTTTTCATTGTATTTTCAGGTTTTTTTTTTTCACTTTGCTCTCATGTCTCAATCCTCCTCCACAAAAGGAGTAGAAATTTTTGTCCTGGAGTCTCTGCTGGTTCTGTCACAGCCTCCAGGAAAAACCCAAGTGCAAGAATTAAAATGATATAACACAGGCCATAATGTTGTCAGGGTGAGGAGCACTAATCCCAGTCACAACTGCATGGGACATTACACTCTGAGGCCCCTAAATTTAAAATAAGTTAAAACTCATCATGACCTCGGTGCCTGAGCAAAGCCAGGCTCCACAGGCTGATGGGAGCAGCACAAACCATGACAGAAATGACATTTCTGGAGCCCAAATGGGCCAGACCTTGAGAGCACAGACCCAATTTAGGTTGCAGATTGTGACAGTGCATAGTGGGAATGGATTCACACAAATCCATTTCAGAACCACGTTGCTCCTAAGGGCAGCCAAGTGAGGTCATTTCTTTAAAAAAATTGTTTCCTTGCCCACACATCTCTGGTTTCCCTTGTTTCCTTCAGGATCATAGGAGAAAAAGTCCAAATCCTACATGACAAAACCAAGCTGGGCTGCATTTCCAGTGCATGCAGAGCTTGAAGAGGTTTTGGAAACCCCCAGAGAAAGTTTTGGGCTGGTTTGGAGGAGCAGCCGTGGCAGGCTAATTAAACCCAAATGCAGTGACCAAAAAGCTTTTTTCTCTTCGCTGTTTCCACTTCACATCCCAAAGCTTTCCTGTGCTCAGGAAAGTCCCTGGTTCCCCTCAGATGCATAAAGTCCCTAACAGGGGACTTTCCTAATGGGCAGCTAAATTGGGATTTTATCTCCTCCTGGACCATCTGAGAAGGTTTTTTGGGATGTGCCAAGGACTGAAATCAGGTGTTTATGGATGTCCATGGAGAACAGGGGGCAGGGGCTGAAAGGATTTGCCCTGAGCTCTGAACTGATAACGCAGAGTGGTGATTTCAGACATCCTCGTGTCCCTGAGCTGTTCAGAGAGTCCTGAAATGGTTTGGGTTGGGAGGGACCCCAAAGCTCATCCCTTGGCAGAGACATCCCACCATCCCAGGGCGTTCCAAGTGTCCATCCAGCCTGGCCTTGGGCACTGCCAGGATCCAGGGGCAGCCCCAGCTGCTCTGGGCACCTGTGCCAGGGTCTGCCACCCTCTGGGTACAGAATTCACCCTCCCATCACAGGGTTTTATTGTCATTCTATTCCTTTCTAGCTTGCTCATGTATCCTCTCTATTCTTTAGTGTAGTTTAGTATAGCAGATATATTATGTGATTGATATGATATGATATGACAATATAATATAATATAATATAATATAATATAATATAATATAATATGATATAATATGATATAATATAATGTAATGTAATGTAATGTAATGTAATGTAATATAATATAATATAATATAATATAATATAATATAATATAATAATATGTTTTATGAAAATCCCTTTGCCAGGATTTTTTCTCCTGAGAAGCTGAGAAGCCTCAGAAAAGAATTGTAAGCAATAATTATCTGACTGCTTGGAATGTGGTCTGGAAATGTTTCACCAACAGGTGCATCTTTGATTGGTCTCATGTGGATTGTTTTTACTTAATGATCAATCCTAGTCCAGCTCTGTCGAGCAGTCCCAGGTTTTTATTATCATTCTATTCCTTTCTAGCTTTCTGATCTATCCTTTCTCTCTATTCTTTGGTATAGTTTATTATTTAATTAATTTCTATATATTAAATATATATTTATATCTATATAAATAAACATATGTATATATAACTATATACACAAAAAACATATATTATATAAATATTGAATCTCATGTGGATTATTTTGACTTGATGATCAATCTTGGTCCAGCTGTGTCGAGGCTCTGAGCAGTCACAGGTTTTTATTATCATTCTACTCCTTTCCAGCTTTCTGATGTCTCCTTTCTCTCTATTCTTTAGTATAGTTTTAGTATAGCATATACAATGCGATATGATATAATATGATATTATATAATACAATATAATACAATGGAATATAGTACAATGGAATACAATGTAAATAGAATGTAGTACAATGGAATACAATGGAATACAATGGAATACAACGTAAATATAATATAATACAATGGAATAGAATGGAATACAATGGAATACAATGTAAATATAATATAATACAATGGAATGGAATGGAATACAATGTAAATATAATATAATACAATGGAATGGAATGGAATGGAATGGAATGGAATAGAATAGAATAGAATAGAATAGAATAGAATAGAATAATATGATACTATATAATATATAATGATACTATATAATATAATATGATTCAATATAATACAATACAATGCAATACAATATAATATAATATAATATAATATAATATAATATAATATAATACAATAGGGTTATAGGATAGGATATAATATAACATGACTAATATAATATAATATAATAAATATAATATCAGCCTTCTGAAACGTGGAGCCATGATTCTCCTCTCTTCCCTTGCAAATCCCAACGCAGGGTGAGGACAGAGCCCAGCAAGGCACGGGCACCATCCATTAAGAACATCCATTGTTCCTTCAGCTCTGCCACTTTTAACCGGAGCCAGCAGCTCCAGCTGGGACAGCTTTGCCTCCTCTTCTCCCCCTCAGGAGGCACAAACCGCGTTCCTGCTCTCCTTCCTGACACCAGCGGAGCCTGGATCGGTTCCCACTGTGCTGCGAGAGCTTGAACCGTGGCCATGCTATTTCCAGCATCTCCCTTGCCCGGGGGCATTGCAGGCGCATCCCGATTTTTCCAGCATATGCAAACAGCGGGCACTGCTGCCTGTGCCAGCCCTGCCAGCCCTGCCCTACCTGCCCGTGCCGCCTTGTGCCCGCTGGAAGCGCTACAGAGGGAATAAACTGCATTTCCCCAGGAGTTGTGTCTGTGTCCCCATTGTTTCAGCATCCATCCTGCAGCTCTGGGTGGGAAAGGACAAATTGAAGCACGGCTCTCCAGGGTGGGGCTGGGTTTGTGCTCCTCTGAACTGTCACGCTCGCTTTTGGCCGCTGGAGAGCTTTTCAAAAAGGCTTCCAGTGAGTCAGAAACCTCAAATCTCTTGGTTTTCAGCGGGAGTTGGGCTCCTGCTGGAGCTGCAAGAAGCATGTGAGTGTCTGGAGAGCCATCCTGGCTTTTCCATGGGCATTTCACAGCCCTGGCACAGGCTCTGGGTGTTTGGGGCTGGGATATAACCGGGGTGACTTCTGGAGCCTGTTGGGATGGGTGGAGCTGCTCTAGAAAAGCTCATTCCAACCTTGCACTGAGAGCAAAATAACCCAGGAGACTTCATTGCTATGGACAGGACAAAAAACTCAGAGTTTAGGTCATGTCAGAGAACATTCAAAACCAGACAACTCAGCCCAAGTTGAGATGATGGTGTGTCCCCAATGTCCCCAAGAGAGAAACTTCCAGAAGATCAGATAAGAGAGCCAAGGATGCCAAGGAGGGATCTCCAGAGCTGGTACCAGAGACAAAGTCTGACTCAAAGAGACTTTGGGGCTGATTCTGTTGGGAATTAAAAAGGAAATTAAGATTGCAAAGCCTACTAAAGAGCTCCAACCCCCAGCAGGCAGAAGCAGAGGGAAGAAACGGAGTGGAAGTGTATGATGTGCACAAAAATGTACAAAAAACTGAGTGGAAGTGTGTGATATGCACAAAAATGTACAAAAAATGGAGTGGAAGTGTGATATGTGTACAATAATGTACAAAAAATGGAGTGAAAGTTTGTGATGGGCACAAAAATGTATAAAAAATGGAGTGGAAGTGTGTGATGTGCACAAAAATGTACAAAAAAGGAGTGGAAGTGTGTGATGTGCACAAAAATGTAGAAAAATTGAGTGGAAGTGTGTGATGTGCACAAAAAACAGAGTGGAAGTGTGTGATGTGCACAAAAATGTACAAAAAATGGAGTGAAAGTTTGTGATGTGTACAAAAATGTGCCAAACTATTGGTCTCTTCCAACTTTGGGACCTATTAAATAAAGAATAATTTACTGCATTAATTTGATGGAACACTAAATAAGAGTGGCTGGTAGGTAAC